AGAAAAATGAGGAGGAACCCAATAGAGGGATGCTTTTGGAAGCCCTTGTCAAGAAATTCCAATGGACTCTCATACGAACATTTGAAAATTTCCGTTATGACTTTTTTCTAGTTCCCTGTCTAGAACTTGTAATGCTAATTACTCTTGCCTTTACTTCTCCTTTGCATCTCCTATTCATGAATCAAAGACTTTCTTTTCTGCCTTGAGATAAGAGTTACACAATTTTGGAGTCTTTTAAATAGACCCAATGAAGGGATATTCCAATTGCCTCATCCTGGGTCCCTGTGCAGCATGAAAGAAGCCAGAGTGGTCTGCATCCCGATTCTCTATTGGTAATTTGGTTAACCTCTTCAGAGGATGGTGTGATAAGAATAGGAGGCAGGAATCAGCTAGGCAGTTAGGGTAAAAAGACCCCAAAGAAAAGTAGCCAGTTTCTTGCCTAAAACTCACAATGTCCTTGAGCCTCTTAGGAACATACTTCATTCCAAAGGACAAAAATGTGGAAAATATTTGGGAGCTTTTATCTAATCCTTAAAAGATTTTTAGGGTTACCTCTTCAGAGCGGGGAATGTTAGAGTAGCCAAAAGCCCCATAAAAAATAAATAAACCAGAGAAAAAAGAGAAAAAAGAAAATGGAATTGCAACTCAGTCTTGTATTTTACTGATAAGCAAGGATCCAACTTACTTGCTTAAAGTTTCCCTTTACTGCTCCATGCAAGCAAACATGTGGCTCAGATTTTTCTTTCTATAACATCCCCAAATCTCCTGCTTTGAATGTCACATTACTTATTTCACTTGAGAGCTGGGTATATTTGAAGTTTATTGGTTTTTAGAGTGAAGTGGGGTGGTATGATTGAGAGCAAGCTCTGGCATGACTTCCTGTTTGAATCTCGACTCTTCTGAAGAACAGAGCTGCACCTGGGCAGGACAGGGACCTTCTAGTCTCTAAGCAGACTGTGGCCAATTGTGCGCCTTTTTCTTCGGGGTAACTGTTATTTATTTTACTAATTTTTCATTGACTTGATTTTCTTTTTGAGTAATGGTTATGATTTTGAATTCCAATTCATCTTTAGTCCCAGTCACTCCAAAAATCTCTTCTTTGTGGCTAGTCTTTCTTACAATGACCTCCAATGACTCTGTGCCTCATAAGAGTTCATGCATCACGCTTCTTACACTTTTCTGATTCACTTACTGGACCATTTCAGAGGGTCTCATGATGGAGCTGAGGCTGGCCTGGAAGTCATCCTCCTTCCTCAGCCATAGTGCTGGATTACAGGAATCATGACATCAGCTTTATAGACTTAATAATGCCCTTCAGTTGAATTATTCCTAATGTTTCCTCAGGATTGGATTCGGGGCTTGTGTTTTCAACCAGGTTTTCACAGAAAGGATGAATCTTTCTCAAGACATCTAGTCAGGTTAATGATATTTATTTATCCCATTACTGCTAATGTATTAATTGCTTGGCAAATTAGTGTCAAGCAAGTTTCAGAACCATAGCATTCTGTTTCTTTCTAAGGAGTAAGCATGTTGTGAGGAGCTACTCTGATAGGATGTAAATCTCATCAGTTTACCTACTAATTCTGGAAGCACTGAAATCCCATCCTGGAAGAGTAAGTATCTTTTGTTTTCTATAATTGTACATGTTGGAAAATACACCCTAAGAGTCCAAAATCCTAGTTGGGATGGGCTGGTTTGTACTGACACAAAGGAGCCCTCATATCTCCGTGGCTCAATACAGCAGATGCTTATCCCCTTTGCTTCCATTGATAGTTGTTGGGGGGGTCTCTGCTCACTCAAGGATGTGAGCTGACTGAGGTTCATCTTGACCCAGTGTCCTACCTCAGGAGGTAGGAAGAGAGATTAGGAGGAATTCTGCGCTGGCATTTAAACATCTGTCTGGAAGAAACACACATTGCCTGAGCTATACCTTCTTTGCCAAAATAAATCACATAAGTAGATCCATCTAAAGGAGTCACTGAGATTCATCCTACTCTGTGCTCAGTAGTGAGAAGTGGGAATGTGGGTAAATAGTTCCCAGAACACCAGCCCTATCACACAGACAACACATCTCAGCCAAATGGAGTGTAACTGGATCCATTCTTCTTGAGTTCCATTTGGCCTTGGGGTGATTTTGGCCTTTGGAAAATGGGCAGAATGTAACAGGGTGTTGCTTTAAGGAAAATGGTTTAGATACTGGAGATGAATGGTGATGGGCAAGGACACCATCATCCACTGAAACCTGAATCAAGGTCTATGAAATTGGGTAACAACCTGATGTGGAACCTTCCCAGCCGTGTCTAGGGCAACCCAGGAGGCAAACATTCTTTGAGAGTCTTGCCTCCAGCATACTGGCTGTGCTGGTAAAACAGTGTCTTAAGGCAACTGCCTAGGACTTGGAGCTTGGTTGTCCAGGTTTCTGGTCCTCAGAGGGTCTGTGGTCCCGCCCTCCTAAAGGGGCAGCGCCCAAACTCTACGGAGTTTTGAA